AAACCGAAAATTCCCCATTTTTACAAAAAATACTACTACTAAATATTTGTTTAACCCGGAAAGAAAAAAAAAAAGGAAAAGGCAGAGAGAGTTGAGAGTGGAGAAGAGAGGAAGTTTGCGGTGGCTTAAAGCATTCAACTGATAATGATGGTGGTCGTGCATGCATATTCTGGTTTTCCTTCTCCGCTCCTCTTCGCTGCATGAACTTCGCCGGAGTCTGGATTCTCTCTCTCTCTCTCACCAATCTCCAAAAGGGAGGAGGTCTTTTGATTGGAAATCGACTTCCTTTGATTGAGAGATCCCAAAAAGAGCCAAATAAGTTTTTCAAAGTCCGTGGCGCGCCTTTGACTTGACCGATCTATCTCGTGTCTTAATTCCGGATTGTCTGATTGGATTTGAGAGTTGGTCAATGATGGAGTCAACTACAAAGGTTTGCATGAACGCACAGTGCGGTGCTGCCTCGACGTCCGGCGATTGGAAGAGAGGCTGGCCTATGCGATCCGGCCAATTAGCCTCTCTCTGCGACAAGTGTGGGTAAGCAGCCACTCTCTCTCTCTCTTCTTGTCTACTATTCCCACCAAATTCCATTTGATTAGTGGCGTTGGTTAGGATTAGAGAAGACGAGATAATTCCAGTTAATTCTTGTTAATTTGATTTACGGTGATGATAGGTCCGCTTATGAACAATCCATATTCTGCCAAGTGTTTCATGCCGAGGAATCTGGTTGGAGACAGTGTCATTCCTGTGACAAGGTGAACATGATCACACCATGGTTTATTTGCGCTCTCATCATTTAGTTTCTTGTTTTACCAAATCCCTGTCTTCTCCCAGCGTCTTCACTGTGGATGCATCGCTTCCAGATTGATGATGGAGCTTCTTGACAATGGCACTGTTTCCTGTATCACCTGCGCCAAGAAATCCGGACTCGTTTCTGTAAGACTTGACTATTCAATCAAATACGCTTTGATTCTCTGTCATTCTTATCTCTCTATACATACACTTGCTCTTACAGATGAATGTCAGCCACGAATACAATGGGAAATTTGAGAACGGTGGTAGGGACTTCCCCTCGCCAGAGCATCATCTAGGCCATGTTCTTGACAGGACTAATCTCAAGCACTTGCTTCACTTTCAAAGAATCTCCCCCACTCAATCTTTTCTCCACATGAAACAAGAAGATAATTCCCTGCTTCCCGCCAGGCTTGATGCTCTTCGCCACAAAACTGAAAACCACGAATTTCACCCAAACTTGAGCATTTCACTTGGACCTACGCTTATGTCAAGCCCCTTTCATGACGACGCTAGTAAGACTACTCCTATCTTCCAACTGGCCCCTCGCTCCAGGCAACTTCTTCCAAAACCTGCAAACTCAGCTCCCACCGCTGCTGTCATGGACCCTAATGGGAGCCTCGTGTCACAGATTCATGTCGCTCGCCCTCCTCCTGAAGGTCGCGGGAAGACCCAATTGCTTCCCCGTTATTGGCCTAGGATTACTGACCAGGAGCTGCAACAATTATCTGGACAGTTTCCTCACCTGTAGGTTCATTATATCGTCTTTCTGTTTCTTATTCTACGTTTATGCACACTATCTGCTCTTATGCTAAAGAGTCCTTAACTGTTTATTCTCCAAGCTCAAATTCCAAAATCATTCCACTCTTTGAAAAAGTTCTGAGTGCAAGTGATGCGGGTCGTATCGGTCGTCTGGTTCTCCCTAAAGCATGTGCAGAGGTATAACTTGTTTCTCTGTACGTTTATCTGATATACCCAAACTATAGCTATCTAAATGCTGGGTACCTTTTATGGTGGTATGTAGGCATATTTCCCCCCTATCTCTCAACCCGAGGGCCTCCCGTTAAAGATACAAGACATCAAAGGGAAAGAATGGGTGTTCCAGTTCAGGTTTTGGCCTAATAATAACAGCAGGATGTATGTTCTGGAGGGTGTGACTCCTTGCATACAGTCAATGCAGTTGCAAGCTGGTGACACTGGTACTTTCCAAACCCTTTTGTTTCGTTAACTACACTACACTCATAGCGTGTTGATGGAGCCATGGTTTGATAAAATCAAACATTGGCATTAAAACTTTTCGATCATGTGTTGTGTTCGATGAGGGCAGTGAAATACATTCCAAGATGAGAAGAACGGTACTTTTTTTATTAGCTCTGATGTGTTGGATTTTGCCATGTTCTCTGCAGTAACGTTCAGCCGAACAGAACCTGAAGGAAAGCTGGTTATGGGATATCGTAAAGCAACAAACTCTACAGCAGCGCAGGTAAAAGCATGCCAATTTCTTCATGTTGAGATGATCATAGATGCATAATAAGTAGATTTGTACCTTTATGCATTAGAAACTGCCACTGTGAAGTGTGAAGTATTGGACTAAAAGACTCATTTCTGGTACTCGCACAATTATGCTTTCAGTGAAAAAATCTTTCTGTTGTTTCTTTAGATGTTCAAGGGAAGCAGTGAACCCAATCTGAACATGTTTTCCAACAACTTGAATGCGGGATGTGGTGACATCAACTGGTCCAAACTTGAGAAGTCTGAGGACATGGCAAAGGATAACTTATTGCTTCAGTCGTCACTAATTCCTGCTAGGAAACGGGCTAGGAACATTGGGAGTAAGAGCAAGCGACTGCTCATTGATAGCGTAGATGTTCTAGAACTGAGGCTTACTTGGGAGGAGGCACAGGAACTGCTGCGGCCGCCCCCATCCGCCAAACCGAGCATCTTTACGGTGGAAGATCATGATTTTGAAGAATATGATGTGAGTTGCTCTGTGCCTGTTTAATTCTCAAAAGCAGCCGGACCTTTGCACTGTATTTTCTGAAATCATGTACTTGTTGCTGTGCAGGAACCACCAGTTTTCGGGAAGAGGACCGTTTTTGTGTCACGACAAACAGGGTGAGTCCTCGTGTATTATTTAATAAGATAGGATCAGAAGAACTTAGCACACTTGATCAAAGAATTGAAGTGATGAACATCTGATTATTTGGTTCTGATATGTGATCCTTGAATTCTCAGGGAACAAGAGCAATGGGTGCAGTGTGATGCTTGTGGGAAATGGCGACGGCTGCCTGTGGATACTCTTCTTCCACCAAAGTGGTTGTGCTCCGATAATCTCTTGGATCCTGACAGGTATACGATATTACATGTTCATGTGCTTAACCTAGACTAGTCACCTCTGAACACTGCATATTTTTCTCCACCTAAAACTGATACAATCTATTTGGACTAAATATGCTGCATAACCGTAGACTATAAACTTATGGGGTATTATTATTATTAGAAATTTCCAACTCTTCACTGAAACATGCCACCGGAATAATTTGATTTGATGTTTATATCGTCAGGTCTTCATGTTCTGCACCTGATGAGCTCTCCCCAAGAGAACATGATGCACTTGTCCGGCTGAGCAAAGGTATGATCCTCAACAATTATCGGTATCTGTTTCATTAGAAATTAATCTGATAAAGTTTTGTTTCCACAGAGTTCAAAAGGAGGAGACTGGCATCATCAAACGAAAAGCTAAACCAGGAGCAGGAAGCATCTGCTCTGAATACTTTAGCAAACACGGCGATCACCACCACGGGTGGAGAAGGGGATACCGTGGTAGCAGCGACGACNAAGCACCCAAGACACAGGGCAGGGTGTTCTTGCATCGTCTGCAGCCAGCCACCGAGCGGTAAAGGGAAACACAAGCCGTCATGCACTTGCACGGTGTGTGAGGCAGTGAAGAGGCGGTTCAAGACGCTCATGATGCGGAAGCGGAACAGGGGAGAGGCAGGGCAGGCGAGCCAGCAAACGCAGTCAGAGTGCAGAGACGAGACAGAAGTGGAGAGCATCCCACTGGTTGAGCCAGCCGCAGAAGGAAACATTGACTTAAACTCAGACCCGGGGGCTTCCCGAGTGAGCATGATGAGCCTTCTTCAAGCTGCAACCTTTCCTCTGGAGGCATATCTGAAGCAGAAGGCTGTTTCCAATACAGCAACACCCCCGGCAGCAGCAGCGGAACAGCAAAGCAATGATATGGTAAGCACAGAGCACGGTTCGTCCTCGGCCGCGCAAGAACAAGAGAGAGAGACACAAGTGGAGCTCCTGAGCCCCTGAGCTAACCCTCTCTCGATGAGTAGTAATTGATTATGCGGAGGTATGTTTGTTGTTGGGAATTCATTGTTTGTGTTTACCTGCGGGTTTTGGTTTGGTGTGTGGTGAGGGCTTGAAATGAGAGGGAGAAAGAGAAGGGAATCTATCTTGATGAGGTTTTGGAAATACATAGGAGAAGCAACCCATATGATAATTATACCTCTTGTAATATATGTATGTATATAAATGGCTCAAAAAAAACAAACCATTCTTATAGATCCTTCCTTGATCACCAAAGACAACACCACACATTAAGTTAC